TCCAAAATATTTTTATCCCCGCTTGCACGAAATTACGAGTCATATTCGTGACTTCATGACAAAAGGCAAGGAAAAAGCGAGCTACTTGCAAAATTTGTTAGCGCGAAACGTGCATAATCTGGAGAATATCTCGCCGACGGTCAGTGATCTTTCACCCAGTGAACGAATAGAAGGCTGCTCATTCCACACATTTAGAAAACACAGACGTTATCATTGTGCATTACATACAAATTATATTCAATTTGTATGCATTGTGCAATGCATACAAATTGAAACACTGGTTCATTGAACAAAGTCAAATCAACATCAGGAACGCTGTAACACCTATGTGACCCGGTGCTTGTCCTCCAAAATTGACGAGGAAGACAGAGAAAATAGTTACTCCGACAAATCAGGGAGCGAACAGTCACCAGTTGAAGAAGAGAAAAACGAGACAAATACTGAGTTGGAACATTCCGTCGAGCCGTCGAAGAATATAACAATCGCGTTACCAGAGATAAACGAAATTATATAAAATGAATTCGCTCGAAATTCAACATGCATTGCAACATCTCAATGCTAGATACACAGGCGTCTATCCAGCCGACAGACTACCGAGGGTGTGGACAAGGTCGACAGCAGTAGTCGCTAATACGGACAATCATGATCGTCCGGGACAGCACTGGGTCGCATTCTACGTCGATCGGAATGGAGCTGCCACATATTTCGACAGCTACGGGATGCCACCCTGGGACTCACGATTTCTCCTGCGTCTTAGAAGAAATTCCGTCACTTACCAATGGAATACCTTTCAACTACAGAGACTGTTATCGACGACTTGTAGTCATTATTGCTGTGTTTTTCTTTACTTTATATGTCGGGGTTATAACCTCGGGCAGTTTAACAGTTTGTTTACCAATGATTACGAACGAAACGATCGATTGATTGTACGAATGTATAAGAAAATCCTTTGTCAATGTAAGCGTAAATCGCTAGATCATGATATCCCTGTGTACCAGATTCAATCCTGTATTAAGAAAAATGTATAAGAATAAAATGTGAATGAATTCTATGAAAAATATTATACATTCCTTTCTCTTCGCCTCTTCTCTCTTCCCTGTGATTTCCAGTTCGAGGTAACAAACCCCATTGTAAACTTTTCGAGTTCGAAAGCGAGAGACCCGTACAGGTAAAAATATTCGGGGTAGACATAGACCAGAGGTATCGTCTTCCAACAACCGCCGGGTAGTTTTTGTCTTCGAAATGATCCCTACCTGCTCGAAAATGCTCGCGCACGCTCACGAAAGTCGAAAGCCGGGGTCTCATGGTGGGGTCTCGAGTTCCGTAAGTTCTAGAATTGGCCAAATTTTTCACGCGTGATGTCGATACTCTTCGTATGTATACAATATAGCTAGTTTCCATCAGGATATAGCAGTAACGCAGGGCATAATACGCTTGACTCAAGAGCCAGCGGACCCAGGTTCGAATCCGGTCAGGGCCTTTTATAGGATTTTTCCAGAGACTTTTTCACACTAACTGCACACATACACACACACACGCACTCTCTCCGTTCTACGTGTATGTCCTGACCAGTCTCTACCAAAGAGTAGCAAAGAGTAGAGTAGTAGTAAAGATGTTTGACTCGAGAGCTGAGGTCTCCCGGGTTCTCAAACCTCTCGCAGAGTGCCAAGGAGATTTTTCCAAAAGTAATATGCAAATTAACCAGCTGACCAAGAGCTAGAATCACTAACAACGCCTAATATGAATAATAAAAATTTAATATTTAGATTACGCTAATTTTTATTCCGGTGATTCAAATTTCCGCCATTTTCAGCCTTGGGCGCCGGTGGTCTAGTGGCACCGGAGGGTCGAGTGGAGGGGGAATGTTTTGACGGGCCATACCTACCCCCATACTACTCATCCCTTATTCGCTGTATCAATTCTTGGATGCTTTCAGGTTTTGTTTTGTAAACCTTACTCTTCAGGTGTCCGCAGGTGTAGATAATAGTAATAATCAAGAGAAGTTAGATCTGGTGACCGAGGTGGCCAATCCTCTCCTCCCTCATTTCTGTTCCTTCTTTCTATCCATCGTAATGGAAAAGTCTCATTTAAAATTTGACATGGCCCTAAACAAAAATGAGCAGGAGCTCCATCATGCTGAAACCATATTTCTTCGAAATTATTTTGAAAAATATTTTGTATAGCTGGAATTATTTGATCTACAAGTAATCTGTCATACCTTTGAGCGTCCAGGTTTTCTTCAAAATGAAAAACGGTCCTATTAAGTAGCCATCTATTATTCCACACTGTACATTTATTTTTTGTAGGTATTGTGTGTGAGTTTCCCGCACCCAATTCGGATTCTCATCTGACCGGAAATAAAAATTTTGATTATTAACTTCTCCCGTTAACATGAAAGTTGCTTCGTCTGTAAAAACAATTTGATAAGGGGACATAGGTCAGACATCTATTAGTGCCATCATTCTTTCACAGAAACCTATACGACAATCCACATCTCCGTCTTGCAATTCTTGAACATATTGTAATTTGAATGGATGAAACTTGTTTTTCTTTAAAATTCTCCAAACGGACTTGGGAGCAATATCGTGAATTTGAGCGGCTCTGTTAATAGTAGAATTGGGACCTTCAATAAATATCTGCAGAATATCAAGTTGTTTTTCTTCGTTAATGGCAGGTCTCCCTGATTTAGAGCGATTGTTTACGCTACCAGTTTCTCTAAAATGTTCCATTGTTTTTAAGACAGTGGACTTATTAATTCGACGATTCGCATACGTCTCATTAAATAATTGAGCGACTGCAGCGTACGACCGCTCGTTACCCTATCCACGTATCATGAGGATAGTGATTCTTTCACGTTCCGACAATTCGCCAGCCATTTTTAGAACGTTTAATTTTTAATGTGCCTAAGATCTGTGAGAACTGATTTTAAGTAGCCGTGAGAACAACTGATTTTAAGTAGCAATGAGAACAATTGATTTTAAGTAACCGATTGATCCTGGATAACATTAAGTGCATGAAATTTCGAAATTTGAACGGCCGCCATTTTTAATGGGGGGTCGTAGCGACTTAAAATTTTAAGGGTGTGTTTGCTATGAAAAGACCTTTCAAATGAGCCCCCACTCGACCCTTAGTCCAATTAAAAATTTTCAACCCCCTTTTACCCCCATGTACCAGGGGGTGGGGAATGGTCAGTATCCATGTCATAGTGTAGCTTTTTTGAAAAGTCAAAATACGTGTTTTACCGTTTTTTCATATTTTCATTTTTACAAAAATTATTTAAAAGTTTCCACACTTTTGACAAACCCTATATACTATATACATAAAGAATGATACATATTACAATATAATATATAAATATGTTTTACATCTGTATAGGTATATAATATTATATAATATAATAATTATTGTAAATATTTGAAATGTAATAAAATTTTTCTGCTATAATATTTCTAACAATTTATGGCGCAATGATTTATTTAATGCGCTAAACGATATTAGTAATTAAAAATAATATACGTATGACATTTTAGTTTGTTGCAATTTGCTTGAAAAAATGTATGCAAGACATTTTGCAAATGAGTGGATTATACTTGTACACACATATATAATATATATATATACAAAAAATATACACATATATATATGTGTATATTTTTTTCTATATATGTTTGTGTATGAATCACGTGCCTGAATGCATGTTTATATATTTATGTACATATGAAACATGTAATGGTTAAATTATAAACATTTTACATGGTATATTACATAGACATTTAGATAATTATATATGCATAATTATATAGTAATATACATTATTATAATGTACTATACAATGTGTATGTCTATATGCATGTAAATAAATAAAATATATAGAAATGTAAGAATAATGTGATAATAAAATATACATAATCAAAATACAATGATAAAAAATAGACATCACAATTTTAAACACAGACATCTCAATTCACTCCCCATTTTCAATAGCTTTCAGTTTGGCCACTTTAATTATTTGAATTCCATCATATTTTGTAAACTCGCTTGTTCAGAAATTATATATCTTCCTTTTCTTATTCAGAACGAATAAATTATTTCCTTCATTTTATTAATTCTCTCCTTTTGAGCTGTTTTTAATTTGGATATGTCATACACATTTATTTCGAATAAGTTGGCATTATCTACTGCAAATTCTATAATCTGAAACAGGTTATTTTGACAACTTCATAAGACACCTCAACTGCATTTTTATCCATAATTTCTAACTTTAACGAAAAATAAATTATCACATGTATTATGTGTTTGAAAATGAAATGTGAGTTAATAAACATATTAAACGCAAAGCAAAATAAACGAAAGAATATATACTTTAGAAAAATGTTCGTCTAAATATACATTCATTATCATATCACCAAACAATTTTGTGTTTAAAATAGTGCCTAGCCTCCTATAAATTAAAAAGAATTAATTGTTAATAGAAGCACTATACTTCCTCACGATCAGTCACACTACAATTATTTATAGGAGAGACAATTACCAAATTTCTATGTTTTTATTTTCTACGATGTATTTCAGAACATCATCCTTCCGTACATGCTTCTTTAGAACAATACGATAAAGTTTAATCAGCTCGTTATATGGTAGCATATTTTTACGCATGAAAGATAACATTATATCCGTATACTTCACGATAATTTGTGCATCATCTGAACAAAATAAGTATCTCAAAATATCTATATCCGTGGTATTTTTATATTTTTCAAACAACATCTGCGATATAGTTTCGTTGGCCAAACTCATACCGGCACAATATATCCAATCCTTCCACCATGGTGAAAATCTATATGTGCGAAAAATATCAACCATTAGCGAAGTTTAAGTTTGAATCATGTGACCGATCAAACATATGGCGTAACAAGTAATAAAGAAACATGTTTAAAAAAATTAGTAAAGGATTAGATTAGAAAGGATAAAGATTTACTTGTTATCATCAGGTTTGAAGAGATCCCCAGACAATTGTGTCGTAGCAGCTATTTGACACTTTCTATGCCCTAATTTACAAGCCCATCTTGTTCCTAATAATCTCAGTGTTTTATACATATTGTCCTCATCATTTTTTTCTTCATATCCCAAACTTTGAAGTAAGCCGTCCAGTATTTGACGTACTTCTTCCTAGGTTAAAGAATATTGATACCACATGAATATTGAAGTGACAACAGTTTGAAATAACAGCATTATAATTTAATTTTAGTACGTAGCGTTGTTTATCGGGAACAGATATTTATATGCATATATAAATACATGATACATGCGTGACATATATCTGAACTTATATGTACATTTTTATGATCAGGAACAGATTACTTTCTATATTTTGGTCCGAATAATTCATCTTCAATATTATGAAATTTTTTTTATGACTGTTGCAGACTACGTGTCCCTTAATTAACTTATGAACTGATGAAATTCGGTTTACCGTGCCTACCTTGATATGTTTCACTCCCGTAGCCGGATTATTCCAAATAGGCCACATAAACGATAGAATATTAAACATGGGATATCAGACTATGTAATTTACATCATGCTTTAGATAACTTGCAATTCTCCAAAATATAAGCGGTGATATGTAGTTTTGTGTCATAAAATAATATGCATCATCAATCAATTGCGCGCGATTGAGGACATTTATTTGATTATAATTATCAGAGTGCAAAACATTTGCAATTCGATTCCAACTATTTTCATCATAATTCACGCGAAAGTATCCTGTGGTAAATTAAATAATCATTATATTGTTATTAATTTAAATTTGTATTCACGAAAAACTATTGTATATAAAATAAAAAATGTATTATGTTGAAATTGTTTTACTCTTTAAAGTTCGTGACAGTGTCATGAACTTACCTCATATGTATACAGGGTGATCCGAAACAAGCAGTTGTCTTTAATATGTCATATTCTTGAGTAAATTCTAAGACTATTTCTCTTGATTAAGATTATTTCTCTTGCAAAATGTTATCCGATGCTCAGTTACTGAGTTATTAAGACAAATAGTTCGTCTATTATGAGCCGGGTACAGAAGGCAGGCAGGGACAGAACAATTAATATCCTGCTAATTTATAATACTATATTTGCTATTACACTCACGGTTGTTCAAATTTTTAAGTTTTGAAAATAATACGGATGAATGTTATTACATGCGTCGATTAGTACATCGCACCGAGCGACCAACATCAGCGCCTAGGCGGCACGCGCCTCAACGGTTACTTGTTCCGTCCCTGTCTGCTTTCTATACCCGACACTAGACGAACTATTTATCTTAACTCAGTAACTAATCATCGAATAACATTTTGCAAGAAGAAGAATAGTCTTAGAATTTGCTCAAGAATATGGCATATTAAGGACAACTGATTGTTTCGAATCACCCTGTACATACACTTACCATTTTGTTCTTTATTAAATAAGACAAAATTAATATTCTGCTTCAGTTTAATAGTTGTAATTTCAGAAGTTATCATAATATCACTGATCATGTAAGGCAAAGGATTGTATAAAGTATAAGTTGTCGGTATCATCCACGTGGATTTTCTCATGTCGACACTACCAGTGATATTTAATCTGACTGTATTATTTTGAAGATTGTGAAAAACATTTATAACAGGATAATATCTTTGACTTAACCACGTATCCATAATTTCACTAATTCTAACAATTTTATTGGTTCTGTCATCAAGTATATGTTGTAAAGTGATCCAGAGATTATCAGGAGTGGCAGAACGAAACTTACTATAAAGAGAAAAGTTCAACGTTGCGTGTATGTGTGCGTGCACGTGTATATGTTTATGTTATTAATAATTTATGAATTTTACAATACGAAACACATTTTTACTTAACCACGTGTTCAGTTTAGCTTTTTAACGTAAATGCATAAATATATCAAAATTCTACGTAATAAATAATATGCCTCTCTTAAGCCCGATTAATTAATTAATACATAAACACATAGATTTGAAATAGTATAAATTCTCTCGTACATATAGTTATCTTTCACAGGCAACACCTAATAGCGAAGTACGTATTATATAATGATACTACAAAGTGTTACTTACAATTCGCCCAAATATTTTTTGACAGCTAGTTGAAACTTATCTCGTGTGATTATATACTCTATCATACGTAAAAGAGCGAGACCTGTAAATAAAACAGAACGATGTATATAACAAGTTTATTTGGTTTACATAGAGTAAGGACCAAGTCTCATAATTTATATGGTATTTTCTTCCAACGATAAATGAATATTTTTTTTTAAATCTCCAGTTAAACACTAACCTTTATTATAATACCAACGAGAACAGAGGCCAACATCGATTTCATCCGCGACTCGTACATCATATTCGGAAAGAGCTCTCATCTGACAGTTAATTTCATACTGAAATGTTAATTGAAGAATTTGGATTGCATAGAGATCCACTAATTGAACCGATAAACTAAGTGAACCGATGAAAATCTAGAATAAATCATTCTGATATAACTAAAATATACGCTAGTGCACAAATTAACATTATGCAAATGTACTCCAGCAAACATAAATATAACGGTTATATTATTGTAATATAACGAATATAATTTTGACGTTATATTATATAAGTTAACGTATTATATAATTTGAACATTATATAATATAATAAGTAAATTGCAAACAAATTACAAAAGTATAAGTTACACATACATACACTCATATTAGTAAATAAATAAGTTATAATACATGTACATTAGATGTAATTATCCACTCATATAAAATTGCAGTTATGTAACATACAAATAACATGTTACTAAAATATTACAGGATAGTTATTGTATATAACGAGACCGTAACTTATATATAACAGTTATATATAACAGTTATGTTATGAGGTTTCAAGCAAAAGTTATATGGCTGAAATATAAAAATTATACAAAATATATGACGAAAACCCTTACACCTGTCATGCTTACAAAATTAAATATTTGTTGTGCTATTAATTCTTTCCACATTAGCAGTAGCGGTATTCCATATACAATGAGGTTTGTACATGATTGAAAAACGATTAGAAAAATTAAGAAATGTCTTCAATACCGATCATTTGCCTTTAAATTCAAAAGTATCTCGCCCTCTAATAATGCTGATAGATATATATTAACCTCGTTCATGATATAATGACTGTAAAGCTTCGATAGTGTTTCGCCTATCCACAGGTCGGCCCACCGAGACTGAGTAACCACTGCTGTAAACGGCTGACGTGCCATTTGGTGCGAAATGACTTCGCCGATATGAGCCTTGCGGCCAGGGAAATCGATATCTTTATCATATGGAACATCCTTTTCACTATAAATTGTGAATTCATATGATCAGGTGATGACATGTATAATAGAAATGGCAGTATGCTTTTCTACAATTTAGCTCTTTCATAAATTACACTAACGTATAAGTTAATTTAAAAGTTCTAATAACGAATTAAACACTGCATGATAATAACATCTATTTTATTATTAGGTGTGTGAATTAATTCGGTCTATCTGGCGGTCAATTGCTGTACTATGTAATTTTCTAACCTATAATGTCTGCAAAAGGCTTTATTCTTTAGTTTTGATATCTGGCAATAATATTCAGTTGATAAACGTTTGGGTTTGTAATAATAACATCGTGTTTATCTAATTCGAAAATGTCGAAATTCGAGCCAAAAAAGCATCATCTCCGGGAAGTTCTCATTTTCTGTTTTCATTTGAAGAAAACAGCCGCTTTAATTCATCGAATGCTCGTAGAAGCTTATGGTGAAAGTGCTCTCACCGATAAATCATGCAGAGAATGGTTTCGACGTTTCAAAAGTGATGATTTCAGTGTCGATGACAAATCTCGTCCAGGTCAGCCGAAGAAGTTTGAGAACGAGGAAGTGCCGGCGCTAATCGATGAAGATCCGTGTCAATCGCAATATGAGCTCGCGCAATTGTTGAATATTGATCGATCAACAATTTCTGTGCGTTTGGCAGCCATGAAAAAGATTAACAAAGAAGGAAGATGGGTGCCATACGAACTGAAAGAAAAAGACATCGAGAGGTGAAAAGCCATGTCTGAAATTTTGCTTGCCAGGCAAAAAAGAAAAGGTTTCTTGCATCATATTGTGACTAGAGAAGAAAGTGGATATATTTCGATAATCCCAAACGGAGGAAATCCATTAGCGACCCATGGAAAACCATCCACATCGATACCCAAGCGGAATATTCACGGCAAGAAAGTAATGCCTGTATATGGTGAGGCCAAAAGGTCTACACCTACATACTGTATCATGAACTATTAAAACAGAGCCAAACCATTACTGCCGAACTTTACCAACAACAACTGATCCATTTAAACAACGCATTGAAGAATAAGCGGCCGGAATATGCAAAGAGACACGACAAAGTGATCTTCCAGCACGATAACGCTCGGCCACATGTTGGAAAGATTGTGAAGGCCACCATTGGAAGCACTTGGCTGAGACGTTTTACCCTCACCTGCCGTATTCATCAGACATTGCTCTATCCGATTATCACTTATTCAGATCGATGGCACACGGACTTTCGGACCAGCACTTCAACAATTATGAAGAAATAGAGAAATGGCTCAATGAATGGATCGCTTCGAAGGACGAGTCGTTTTTCCATCACAGAATACAACAACTGCCAGACAGATGGGAAAAAATAATAGCAAGCGATGGCAAATACTTTGATTAGTATACTTTTTTATGTTTTTTATACTAAAGTCTTTTTTGGAAGAAAAAACGAACCGAATTAATTCACATGTCTAATATATACCTATATATTATAAGACCAAAACATCCCATTGAATTTATTGTATTATTGGGGAACACTATGTGATCCTCTTAGGCAATACATCCGTTAATCCCGTAAAGAATGTAAGTAACGATCGACAGTGCAATTATACTCGTTGCATCTTGTAGCATCTTCTTTTGCGACATGTGCCAAATGGTGTCACTCTTAGATATTTCACTCTTTGTATGATTATCGTTGTCTTCAAGCAGAGCAATGAACACATTGGAAGGAGATATCGGAAGGCGTATCACTTAAAATACGTCTTGTTAAAGTTCGAAGTCAAACTTTTCGTGAATATTTAGGTACATTCGAGAAAACTTTAAATGCTTAGGATATACTGTAGATATGTTGAAAATGCCTTTAATTCGGGCTCATCCCAACATGGAAACACTCTCCGAGCCATGTTAGGTTGCATGATGACTAACCTATCGTTAGAACATATTGTAAACATAAAATATTTTAACCATTCTATAACATAAAGATGTGGAAAAGAGTTTTCTACATATATGGATAAATTATATATAGAAAAATCGGATAATTAGCATGTGTCGCGATAGTAGAGAGTAGCGCGCTCGAATGATAGAGCTTGTAGTGCAGCCCATTTAGTCTAACAATAGCTGTCGACGTACTTTTTTCCTTTAGTTACGCGATGGCAACTGTTTTAAGCAAAGTGGTTCGCTAGAAACTTCGAACGTCCGAGCGCGCCATCCAGTACCGCCGCGACACACGCTAATTCATCCCATTTATTCCATGCATAACTCCATCCATTTTAACGATTTTTGCAAAATGCATTTGATCCTTTTCTTTATCTCAATCAGCTGTATGCCTCTATTGGCTATTTGAGTTAGCAAACATAATGCACATATATGAATTATACAGGATGTTCCATAACTTGCTACAAGAAATTCATGGAGATATAGAACGAATTAAGATAAACATATACCTCATACCGTTTTGCGATATTCGCAATAATTATTGATTATTAATTATAGAAATGTGACGAGTGAACGCACACAGATATGCATGATTTGAGAAGAATACAGCTACCCGTGTTATTGCGCGGTCCAGTCGATTCAGCAACTGTTGTCGGTGATGAAGAGAAGGACAATGTGCCGCGCTGCTTGTCTTATTTTAATGGCGAGATGCCATTCCTAGATCTCGCCGCACGACAGCTGAATCGATTGAATCGCGTTAAGCCCGAACAACTCTTTAATATTATCTCGGCGCACGATCACTTATTAGACTTTTATGATTCATAACTCGATAATTATCGCGAATACTGCAAAACAGTATGAGACTTTTATATTTGTCTTAATCTGCCATATGTTCCCATGTTACGAATTCATTGTATCGACTTATGAGATATTCTCTACATAACTCATAATATTAATATTGTCTGCATATGATCTCACAAAATTGTACGAAATTTAATTTATATATATGTCAATACTGAAAAAAGGCTGGTATACAAATGTAAATTATGTAAATGCTTGTTTTCGCAATTATGATCATTTTTAATTGATTTATATATCGACATAGGGATTCTGAACAAATACTTTGTCGATAAATATTTTACAAGAAAACGTTGAATTAATCGGTTTTATTTTTTATTTTTACGAATGATAACTAAATAAACCAGTATAACCAGCATAACACTTGTACCAGCAGAAAAGAATGTTTACATACAATGGTTAGCTGTATGATTCTCGTAAATTCTTACCTTGCTTTCTCAAGATTTGTTCCACTTTTCTTGTATTCGTATTTAACTACACCGTTCCAAGAACGGTCCCAAGGACGGCGAATAGTAGAGCCAATTGTCAAGTTATAAGTCCCAGGAACTATTACTTTATCAAACTGCAAATCCAAAATCTGCGAGTGTTTGCAATAACGGTAGCCAGTTAATCTGTAGCCTTCAAGTGAGTTGGTATTTACAATCTTTATCCGAGTGTTGATATTCAATTCATAGGCGTGCAAACTTATGACTCTTATCGAATTTTCAATAATAATCGTGATATCACTTATACAGTCAACTACGTTCCATGTCGGATTCATTAGCGCAAGTATTAGGATATTTAAGTTATATCGAATTGGCCGAGAGTTAGAAACCAGTAAATCATTATAAGAGGAAACATCGCAATGTTGCAGGTCCATGTCTAAAGATTGATCATGATCGGTAGCAAAGTAGTCTGGCATAACAGCGGCGCATATCGAAATGTAACTTAACAATAATATTAGGAATTTCATGTAAATATTTCTCAAAGCCATATATGTACCTATATGGGGGATTTATTTGTTAGCAGAATATTAGTTAATGATACGTTTTTATATGAGGTCATTATTCCATAATATTGTTACTTAATGTTGATATTAATGTAAGAAAACTAATACAACGGATATAAGGAATTCAATATCTCTTACCTATGTGAATATATGTTCTGTATTTGATATTTCCACTTCTAGTGCTCGTTGCCTACTACCGTATGTAGCATGAATACAGCTTCTGATATAGAGGTCCGTTTACTAAACACAAAAAATATAAACACAAACCACGCAACAATAAGTTACGTTTTGAAAAACACCTTGACGCTAGATTGATTACATATAAAGAATTTTGCCAGGTAATAGCATATTTAGTTATTATTGATAACCTGAACTGATATTAAACAATATGGAAAATATCACATTTCATATATTACTTCGGAAATTTTACTGAATTTAACAATTTTGTAAACTTTGACAAAACATCGCAAAGATTGACAAGAAAAATTGTTTTAAAAACTTTAAAGAGAATAAACTTTGTATGATATTTGTTCAGTATGATTTTAATGTATATTTACAAAAAAAAAAGACAAACATAGTTAACTTTTGAAATAATCCGTATTATTTTCAACAAACTTCTCTCATCTTTCGGGCAGCTGCCGAATTCTATTTCGGTAAAAAGATTGTGATTTCACTCAATAATATCAATAATGCTTTTTCATCCCTGATTACGATTTTGTGAAGAAAGTCGTTTTGTTTGAATTGTAACAACTAGGTCATTATCATATCAGAGCGTCTCACAGTTTTCGACATTCCACTACGTTCTGCATCAATAACATCAAAATGGTCACTTCGAAACCCACTTTGAAACCATTTTATAAATTTTGTGGATTACAGCATCTTCATCTAAACCGAAACAAATCATTTTGGCGGCTTCAGTAGCAATTTTTTTTAACCAGAGCACAGAAAATACAGTGCTTAATATACTTCTTCTGAGAAGACATGGTACAAATTACTGTTTTATGAGTTTATTTCGTGAGTAGAGAAAAGTTATGGGGCGTTTGAAAGGGTAAAACTGATACTTCAAAATCCCAAAATAATAGGAAATAATTTTAATTTATAACAGAATTATAACTGATTGAATGTAAAAATCGATCTCTTTTGTATGTCTAATACACTCATCGATCTCATTTGTATATTTAAGATATACTAGGTATGTAAATTAAATCAGTGCTTTCACATTTACTTGGTCTTAAATAATATTTTGAATTTAAAAAAATTTTTTACCGCCATAATATAGTTTTGGAAGGACGCTATTTATATTTATAAAATGCTATGTGATCTTTCTCAATTATTGACTTCTGCGTGATAAATTTGTTTATTTTTCTGGAAACGATTCCATGTTTTTGTTTAAACCTGTAAACCCCTTTATTAGAAGCTTTGAATAACTTTGTCGATAAGGAAATTTCATCTCGAGCTTTTGAAGCCCATCTACGAAGATCCAAATCATGAACTGTTACTGACTTATTCACAGCTTCTTTGAATCGATCCAATACGTATTGAGAAATTTTCCTTAATTTTTCAAATCGAGTTCCATCATTCGAAACTTGTATTTCTCAACGATATAACTGTCGCTTTGATTTTAAACGTCTAAATTTTGTCTGAACTGACTCAAATTTTAATTTGTGTTTCAGTCCCGACTTTCAATAATTTATAGCTTTTTGTTTATAGTGATGTCATAGTGATGTCTTTATCTTCGGAAAGGCTCGAATCTAAATTTGTTTTCATGTTTAACATATCTTTAGGATCTTTGTCCTCGATTGCAAATGGATGTGACATGAAATTTGCGTCCTCAAAGTGTAGTTCTTCATGAATTTCTACAAACAGAGATTCGTCAATTGCGTCCTTTATTAAGGTTTCTAATTGTAGACTAAAATCTTTTTCATTTTCAGATATAGCAGATTCTATATCATATTGTTGTTGATCGAAAGCTATTTTCAATAGTTTCAAATTTCTAGGGTTCATAGTCATGTTCAGAAAGTAAAAACAACTTGTCGGAAAAGAAAGCAAATTATTTTAAAATGTGATACACTGATAATCGAATTTTGTGATGTATAATTAAATAACTACAACTAAATTACGATTAAATTCAAACTAATAATAAAATATCATACAAATCTAATTTTTATTCATTATAGATTATGTAGCGATAAAATTAAAACGACATAAAAACGGAATTTAAATGAAATACCTCGAAACTCGACAAACAGAAAAGAAAGGAATGAAGAAAACGAATGGCTCACGATATCACAAACAGAAGGAATAAAACAACGGAAGCACAATGAATGAATAAAATACTAGATTATACTAACATTTATTTACTATACATTAATATATTGTTAAGTTAAATAAAAAGGAATTTCAATTCTGAATAAGTGTACTATTATATATTGTGAGAGGGAGACGATAAAATTGATGTCATGTTATATGTTATATATAACTATATATATGTTATATAATTATTCTGTGCTTAATGGGTTTTATGATTTTAGAACTTTTAAATTAACTTTATACCCTTATTAGTTTATAAAAGAGAGAAATTGTAAGGAAGCATATTCTCATTTCGGTATTATATTAATTTGTAATTCATAGCAAAAAATATATTCTCTATGATAAACATTCCGATTTCTCTGGCCAAGTTGGTTACATCAGCTGGTTTACATCAGCGAAGTAATTCGGATCAAATGGCACGTCACCCGTTTACAGCAGTGACTACCCAGTCTCAGTGGGTCGACCTGTGGTTAGGCAAATCACTATCGAAGCTTTATAGTCATTATATCATAGACAAGGTTAATATACAAGGTGTCCAATTTTAAAGTTTACAGTGCTATATTTCGCAAACCGATGATTTTATTGGAAAATGTTTCAAACAAAAGTTGTAGGGTTTAGAGGGAGACATCTGACGGTAATTTTGGCTTGACTTTGAATTGTCGTTTGAAGGTCACATAAAAGTCAACTTTAAAATCCTAAATGGGACCCCCATTTTTTATTGCATATTCTTGTAGCCTATGTCGAGATGTTTCCAAAACATTACCTACTTTTGTCTTTTGTGTAAGCTATTCCCGTAAGATATGAAGCTTCAAAGTTGATATACCGTCAGCATTTGCATTACCCGATGTACATCGCGAAGAGGTTGCTCGATCGGATTTGTACATCATAATGTACATCATAAAAAGGATCGATTTTGTCTGTGTGTGGGGCGGGGGCTCATTCATTATAGATGTTCGAAAACACCGCCATCGACAACTCGTCACACTTGAACTCCGTTTTCGAAATTTTCGACGAGTTTCAGAAGAACGTTTGCTGAAATCGCTCGGCACGCATTTCTGATGTGATCCATCATATCTTGCCGCATCGTTGGCAGTTGACGGAACACTGCGTCTTTCAAAAATTCCCACAGATAAAAATCCGATGGAGTAAGGTCGGATGATCTTGTTAGCCACCAAACTGGACCATCCCGACCTATTCTTCGATGAGGAAGTGCCATCGAAATGATTCCCGAAGGAAAGTAAACTATGTACAAATCCAACCGAGCAACCTCCCCGTGGTGTACATCGGATAATGCAAATGCCGGCGGTATGTCAACTTTGAATCTTCATATCTTGGGAATGGCTTATGCAAAAGACAAAGAAAGTAGTGTTTTGAAAACTTCTCGACAAGAGCTACAAGAATATGCAATAAAAATGGGGAGTTCCACTTAGGATTTTAAAGTTGATCTTTACGTGACCTTCAAACGACAATCTAAGGTTAAGCCAAGGTCACCGTCAGATGTTACTTTCTGAACCCTACAACTTTTGTTTGGAACATTCTTCAATCAAATCATCGCTTTGCGAAATACTATAAACTTTAAAATTGAACACCCTGTATATCAGTCAGCTTTACCAGAGAGCGTGACACTTTTGAATTTGAAGGCAAATGATCGGCATCGTAAACATTTTTTAATTCTTCCAATCGCTTGTCGATCATGTACAATCCTCATTAAATATGAAATTTTGCTACGTAATGCAGAAGTAACTAATAACATGAAAAATAATTGGATTTTTGTGCATGACGGATATTAATCTTATCGTCAGATACCTTGTATAAAAATAATTACTAAAAAATATATAATTTATATTTTAGTCTGCGACGCTAATTTCTTAGCGCCGGCAAATTGCCGTCGGTCCACGCGTCCACGGCCTTTCGCGCACACCAAAACGAAACGCTATGTTGGGCGCCAGGTGCGGATAGCCGCACCACTCACCAACGATAACCGCGAATTCGGCATGACCGCGACGCGTAGTCCCTCGGGATTTTAAGTCGGGAGACGGGATGGGTTCGATCGGGAATCGATTGGGATCACGCGAAGAAAGAAACAAGCGGCGTTCTTATTATCGAGATCTCAATTTATTCATTCGGGAATCGGCACGCTCTGATGCCCCACGGGACGATATAAATTTTCCCTCCCGCGCGTACTCGCGAGATCGAAACCGCTCTTTGTTACAAAACGCAAACGTCCGACGATAGACGCAAACGGCACACCGAAACAATATAGCAGGTGAACGCTCTTACACAGTCGGGAACCTCCCGGCGGCGTGATCCTTGATGGTCGTCGGGCAGGTCGATCCGGTCGTGAGGTCAGCGGTTGTCCTTCCTCCGGTCTCACTTCACTCGGTATCGCAATGCACTGCACGGCACTGCACGACGCACCCCGCTATTTCTCAATAGAGATCGGAATCCACGAATTTCGTGAGCGGTACGAGAACGCTTTCTCTAACGAGAGCGGAACACAAAACTAATCTGTCGCTTTTGGAGGAGACAAAACGAAGTCTGCTCCTCCTGCCACGAAAACGAATCTTTTCGTTGTCAGTCTAACAACGAATCTTAACTCTTTTTCGTAACAAACCAAAAACGAATCTACCCTTTCTTTCGGCTTCCTCGTCTTTTCGTTGTTTTAGAAGGGGTTCCTCTCTCCCCGTTCCTCGCCTATTCCGACGGTACGGTAATCCTTCCGCGGATCGTTGTTGTCGATCGGCGGAACGGATGCTCTATCTCGCTCTCGCTCTCGCTCTCTCTCTCTTTCTCTCTCTCTCTCTCTCTCTCTCTCCCTCTCTCTGTCTCTTTCGCTCTTTTTTTTTTGTTAACGGTGAGGAAATCCATCATGGACACCT